GGGACGAGGGCTGCTGAGTGCGGAGCTTCGCCGGGAGAGGGAGGAAGGCAGGGAAGGAAGGAGGAAGGTTCTCTCTCCGCTGATGTTCCCCCGCCGCTTTGACTCAGGTGCTGCAGCAGGGAAGTGGAGTTTCACCGAAGCGCACAACAGCTCCGGTTGGAAGGGACATCGGGACATCATCCAGTCCTACCCCACTGCCAGGGCCGGGGCACCTGGAGCAGGTGACACAGGGACGTGTCCAGGTGGGTTTTGAAGGTCTCCAGAGAGGGAGACTCCACGACCTCCCTGGGCAGCTGTTCTGGCGCTCTGCCACCTCCACGGAAAGGAGTTCTTCCTCACGTTGAGTGAAACTTCTTGAGTTTTAGTTCATGGCCATTGCCCCTCGTCCTATCGCTGGACACCACTGAAGAATCTGGCACCATCATCCTCTTGCCACCCACCTTTGAGATATTTCTGTGTGTTCATGAGATCCCTTCTCAGTCTTCTCCAGACCAAACAGGCCCAGCTTCCACAGTCTCTCTTCATTACAGAGATGCCCCAGACCCCTCACCATCTTTGTGGCCTCCACTGGACCCTCTCCAGCAGCTCCTTGTCTTCCTCGTACTGAGGAGCCCAGAACTGGACACGGCTGTCCAGACGTGCCTCAGCAGGGCCGAGCAGAGGGGTTGTGGTTTTTTATAGCTATTTAATGTATTAGTTCAGGATTGACCGGCAAGGAGGCCTTTCTGCAGCAAAATGGGATAAATGTGCATTGTGATTTATTTGTCTGTGTTCTGCAGCCCCTGTTGAAGGTGTGGGCATGGCTCAGTGCCCGGGGTGTGCCCAGGGACTCACCATGGATGGGGAGCAGCAGCTGGTCCCTGAGCTGTGTTTGGGGTGTGAAGGCAGGATTACCTGAGCAGTGCCTGCAGGAATTATATAAGTACACACAGAGAATGAACACTCCGACCTGAATGGAATGAAATGTGTGATTAAAATGAGAAAACAAATTAGTGGTTGCAAGATCAGAACCCTAAGAGGTGCTATAGTTCCACCATCACGTGTGTTGAGGTAAACATCATGAAAGTATGAAGTTGTCTTGAGCAGCAGATCTTAAAGTCATATTTTTGGCTGAAACAAAGTGGGGAAGATACTCCTGGTTCTGTGTTTTCAGTTAAAAAGGTAAATTGATTGACATCATTTAGTTACACCAAACATCTAGGTATGACTTAAAATTTTTGGAGCAGCATTGGTAATTGAGCAAGCCATGCTTGTAAAAGTAAATGTATTCATTTAATAATGGGCCTTTGTAAATAACATGTGCCATAAAAATGACTCGTTAAATATATTTGCTCTCTTAACTAGTTAGCAAATTTTACGACAAAGGACAATGAGGAAAAGGCAACCAGCTGTACAGAGATCTCTTTGTGAACTCCTGCAATATGACTGATTCTGTAATTTAAAAAATTACATTTCAGCTTTTCCCAGCTTAATACAGTATGTCATATCAGTTGTGATTACATATTTTTGAGGCGTTTATTGAGACACAAAGTAATTAAGCACACTTTGTGTTATTGTGTTTTAATACATGCAGATATCACATTCTAGGCCCTTCATAATTTACTTTGGTGAGTGAGGTGAGATTTTTATATTGACCTATCCAACACCTCACAATGCTGAACAGTATTTGAAATGTACATTAGAAAATGTTATTTAAATCTTCAGGTATCAAAACAAAGGTACACTCACTAAAATTCAGGAGTTACTGTTAGAACTCAACAACTCTCTCCAGCAGCTCAGGAAGGTGGTTTTAATTTTCCTCTAAACAACACTCAGCTACAGTATGTTTAAAACTCGATTGTGATCCATCCTTGATCCTTTCTTAAAATACAGTGAATGCACCCGTGTTTTCAGAGACACAACACTAAATGCTGCAAAGACTTCTAGAGTGTTATTTTTTTAAGTCAAGACCTATATAGCATAAACCCCAGAGTTATCATAAATAGTAATAAAATGTTAAGATCTCTTTGAATGTTTCCTTTATTTCCTCTTTATTTCTCGGATGACTGGTTAAGTTTCCTCATTTCTCATGGAGCAGGCCTTGTCTTACTTTGATGTTTGCATTTTTGTCTTCTTTGTGTTGCACACTAAATGTGCTGGATGGCTTTTGTCTGGGGTTGGAGCCATGGTGGTGCAAAGTTACAACGACCAGGCTGTATGTCATGAGGTATCTCATGCAGATACCACAACTGCAGCTTCCTTTTAACCCAAAACATGTCTGCATTTTGGATCACAGAGGCTGTTTTAGGCACAGGGTGAAGTTGGCACACACCCCCAGAGCCAGCCCTTCTCAATGTGGTGCAGCTGGGTGACCCGTGCTGTGTGAGGGTGCTGAGTGCTCTCAAAAGCCCAAATGTGCTTCACATGGGCCACTTCAAGGCCAGAATCCTGGCCCTCTACGTTTCAACAGGGCTGGAATTTCATGCCAGAAACACTTCCTGAAATGATGATGAAACTACCTTGGTTCTGCCTACCCTTAGATTAGCATTTATGTATTTTTAGCATTTATGCAAGGTTTGTTGCTCTTCTAAGTTGTAGCCATATTTTTTAGTTGGGATGGGGTTTTAAATGGTCTGAACAATGTTGTGCTGGATTATTTCTAAGTGTTAACATAGTGAGGTGCAGACAGTTGAACACGGCTCTGCAGCATGAAGACCCATGAGCAAAACATGAGCCTGCCTACCAAAATGCTTACAATTTGCCAGAACATGCTCCAGTATGTGTCTTTACCACTTCTAAACCCTCAGTTCCAGAATACCTGTCATCCTCAGAGATCCACACAAGGTATTTGAAGAAGTAGTGTTTCAAAAATTATTAAATTTAAGAGCCTTTCTCTGTATGTAGCATCTTTTTCTCTCTCTACCCGAGGGAAAAGGAAGATTTGAAGAATAATTTAGAATGCAATAACCAGGCACTGCAGTCTGCAGACCACCTTTCTCTGTCTTCTTCAGCCCTTGGGGAAACATAAGTATATGTAGCCCTGTGATGAATTACATCAGACCAGGTTATAAGCAAAGAAGTGAGTTTTCTGTTCAACCAAGCCTGCCCCACTTCTTGTCTTTCTCACGGCCACAAATGTCCTGGATGCATTCTCACTGTTTTTACAAGATGTTGAATCAGGTTCAAGGCCATGGATATCTTCCATCAGCCACCTGTCTCCTGTCAATCTCCAACAGACTCCCTACACTGGCCTCTCAATCTTCCTGCCCGCTGCCCCACCCATCCGTGCTCTGTGTATCTGATTATGATTGGGGTGAACCCCTTTTATCCTGAAGACTGGCTTCATAGTTTGGGATACACTTTTCTTGGTCCCGAGGTCACGTTCTTTTCCTCTTCCCTGTTTTGTTGTACCTTTGGATTCTGCCTGTTGTTGACCAGGCTGTTCCCAAATCTTCGTTCGCGAAGCCTAGCCATGATGATGATGCTGCTGTGCAGGCTGTGGTTCCTCACCAGACCTTTCCCCTGGTCCCTGTGGCTCTCTTTCATCACTTGGCTTTCCTGATGTTTGGAGTGGTCTTTGACCACCCCGTTGCCTTGTTCTTTGGACTAGCACACTCCTCTGGCTTTTCTGGTTGTCCACACTTAGTTTTTTCTAACCGTGAGTACGAAGCATCTCTTGGGAGGCTCATGGCGACACGAGGAACAGCTTCAGGAGGCAGTGTTTTGGTACCAACCTCCCCTGATGCTCTCCTGCGGGGATCTTTATGGTTTCCCTGAGGCCACGATGGGAGCACGTCATCATGAAAACACACAGCGCTATTCACAGGTGCGGGAGGGCCTCCAAACCTGGCACAAGCCCTGGGGCTTGGCTCGGTAGCCAAGTGTCCTCTGCCCAGGAACACCTGG